GGGGGGGGGGAGCGGCAGAGGCGGGCGGGGGGGGACGAGGGAAGAAGGGGAGGCTCTTTCGGGGGAAGGGGCTTTTTTCCCCAACGAGACGAACGGGCCGAGGCTGCGGGCCCGGATCAGCTCAGATTTGGGTTTTTGTGCTCCTCAGCTACTGTCCCATTCCTCTTTTCCTGCAGATCCGGTTGGGGAAACTTTGTTCAAAGAAGGCAAAAACCAGACGTGGGGCTCTCTGGGGCCCGGGGTTCAGAAAGGTAAGCTCGGCTTTTTCGTTTGTTGCAGGAAGGACCCGGAGCAGGGCGGAAGGGAGGCTCTAAGGACCTGGCGGCCCCACTGGCTTGTCCCAAGGGGCTCCGTTTCAAGGGCTGATGCTCACGCTGAGCGGTGGGGCTTGGTTCTCCCCATTCCGGTCGGAGTCGCGCTTCCCGGGGGTGCGAGGTAGCAGCGTTGCTCTCCAGCGGTGGAAGAGGCACACTGGGTAGCTTTCCGCCCTGCTCTGCGCAGCCGGTTTACTTCACTCTTGGGGTGGACGCGAAGCCAACGAAAGGGGCGTGGAGATGTGAAGGGGCCAGCTCCCCCGGTCGTGAGGGGCAGCTAAGCCAGAAAGCGCCAAAGGCGAAGTCTGGTCCGGTCTGATTCTTAGCAAGAGTCGCATTGGAGCCACAACGAACTCCGTGTCCGCGGTTAGTTTGCTGCTCTCAGCGTTTCCCATCGCGAAGCCCCAATGAGTTGGGACCGTCTGACTTCTAACACCCTCCCCGTAAGGCTGGCGTTTGATGGTTTGTTTGTTTGTGTTTTAGAGTAAGCCCGGCTCCAAAAGGATCTTCGACTCCGTTAGACGTTTGAGACATCTTAGAATACTCAGGTTACGGAATTAACCCATTTTCTCAGTTCACACAGTACCTTCTACCATTTTGTAACCCAATCGCCTGCCTTGGTGCCTAGGCGAAATTCTCCCAAAACAAACTAATCAGGTCAGCACTGGTCGAGCTTAGCGTGTTTCTGCCTGCAGCTGCAAAGTCTCTAACTGGCCGAGTTAAGGGTATTGTGAGAACCCAGTGGTACACGGGCTGGCAGGGTCTGTCTTAATCCTCCCTGTAGATGCTGGTGCTTGAACCGGCCACACTTTTTCCCGGATACCCCTGGCCTTTTAAAGAGGATGAGCCTCTTTGAGCCACTCCTTATCGCTGCATATGTGGATGTCAAGTTTTACTCGATGTATGGTTTGATCATTGAAGTCAGTGATCCAATAAATGGAACTAAGAAGCAAACCAGGCTTGTGGACAAAGTCTTGGGATTCTTTTGTCAACTGATTAATTTTACTGCTTTAAATGAGAGCGTCAACCCACCGGGCTACAGTATTTTAAATTTTGTACCATACTTTGGATGGCCCGCGTTTATGCGTGAAGTGTCCGTTGTCCTCCCTCTCTAAAAATACCATTTACTAAGGATCGGCGCACCCAAGCTTTTGCTCCCAAGAGCTGCTCTGGAGAGAAGCCCTCTCTGTTTGGAGGGAAACTGCTTCCACTTTGCTCAAAAGTTCACCACTGGGTATCCTTCGCTACTCCAACTCTTTGTCTGGATGCAGAAAAGCACGTTTGTCGTTCACCCTCTCCTGAACCCGTGCTGCGGCACTCGCTGTAGCCAGCAAGGAAGCCAGGCGTCCAGAGGCAAACCCTGCCCGCTCATCTTTTGGGTCCTGATAGGACGCCAGACAGAACAGCACGTAATTCTTTTAGGCCAAAGCTGCTTGGATGGTGCTGGGCTCCTGAATGCTTGCAAGGGGCTTTTGTCTCCCTTTTCTTTTAAGCCCCTAATTTTAGGAGGGCTTTGCACAACTTCCCTCCACCCGAGGCTCACAGATCTGAAATCTTGTTTGCAAATAGGGCAAAACATTTGGACAAATTTGGTGGGGGGTGGGGGTTAATTTATTTTCCCAGAACAAAAGATGCTCCTCCTCCTTATAGGAACTCAAGCTCATCCTTCCTCCCTTCCTACATTATATTTGGAGGGTTCTTCCCCTACCTGCTTAGGGAAGGGTGTAAGGCACCCATCCCTTTGCCTGAAGTGGTAGATACAGCCAAGATGGAAAGCATTTCTAGGTATCTTTGTGTTAAATCAGAGATGAATTTTAAATAGCCCCAGAAATAATATGCCATTCAATGAACTATGAAAGCGAAGTGGGATTGAAATACAAAAGCAATCTGGAACAGGGAGAATTAATTCTAAAAAAGTAGCTTTGAATATTGCTATTCGAGGATGACTATTTTAAAAAGTCACAGCAACATGGACGTGACTGTTCTTTTAAAGAAGTATTTTGTTCAGCAGAAAATCAAGTTAATCTGACTTTATTTGTGCCTCTGTAATTTTCTGCATCCCCCCCACGTACATTTACCTGCATTATTCTCACCTTGATGCAAAGCAAACGAACAATATTATCTAATCGAGCCAGAGCTCCTAATGCTGATGTTCTTTCAGCTTTCGTTTTCATCTTTAATTTAATGTAGTCCATGGAAATTTATGCCACAGTAACTTTGATGACCTTTCAAAAAGCTGTTTTTCCTGCTATAGGGGAAAACTTCTCTTTCTGGAAATGATGCCAATTTGGGGAGATTGGATTGCTTAATAAATAAAAACTCCTGGGCTTCCAGAAGTCCTCTGCTTGATGCAGGCTCCTCCTTAGTGGGAGTCTCTGGTTAGATGACCCAGTGCTTCGCACTAGCGCTTACAACAACCCATTTACTTGGAAATATAAATTCCCTTGAGTTAAGGGGATTGGGAAAATCAGCTTCTCTTGGAACTTCCCCCTCTCTGGCGTGCTAAATGCCTTTTCAGCTTCTCTCCCTAAGAGCAGGGATGTACCCAGCGAAAACTCTTGCGGCTCCCTAAAGATGGCCACGTTTAACATCTGGTCTTGCTCACACTTCACCAGATAAGGGGAATATGTTCCAGAGAGGGCAGCATTATGCATGGGAGGGGGATGGAAAGGGGAGGGGAAAATAATGAGAAAAGGAGAGCTGAGAGTTGGGTGAGACCCAGTCATTGCACTGCTAAATTGGTTAGAAGATAAGAAACCGGGGTCTGTTTTTGGAATCGGGGAGCATCTTTACCTCCCTGCATCCGACCACACGCTGTGCTCCACGAATGCTGCTGCAAGGATACCTGGGTGAATCTGAAGGTGCCCCAAGACTGTCTACGTCTGTCCAGGGTTTGCTTCAGGAAATGCTGGATACGATTCAAGGTGAGCTGCCGACGGGGCCCGAGTCGGAAGAAATGGTCCCGCAGAACCGTGGAAGGGCATCGAAAACCCTCCTCCCACGTATCGCGGCTTCCTCCTGAATCTCAGAGCAATTGCTCCCGGATCAAGGGCTGGCGTAAGAACCAGACCAGCGCCAGCATCCCCGCTGGCCTGGCTTTGCCCGCCGCCTTCCCCCATCCCTGCCCGAAGTTGCTCCCCGCATGCGTCGTTCGCGGCACCATCCCACGAAGCAGCTGCGGAGCAAACGGCTCCTTTCGCGGGGCCCTGCCTCGGACGCGACGTTTTCCATTTGTAGATATTTTAAACGCATTTCAAAAATCGGCCGAAACGATCCCCCAACCACGGAAGCAAAGGTTAGAAGAGGGAAGTCAGCGGCGCCCACTGGATCCAAGGCAAGTCGGCTCGTGATGTCCAAGACAGGCTCGGTGTGAAAGGGCCAGCCTCTCTCTCGCTCGGAAAGAAGGCCCTCCAGCTTCCAGCGGGACGGATTCCCACGCAAGTAGGGCTGGCCTGCAGTCTTTTGCCCCGGGAACGTGGGGTGGAGGTGACACCCGGAAAGTGCCGCGCGGATGCTGTGAGAAAGTTGAAATTTGCTTTTGTTTTACTCGCTCCTCCAGAGACAGTGCCTCCTCCAAACTAAAACCTGGCTGACCCCCAAGAATCCTTCGGTCTGAAGATCTGGAAGAGAGGCAACAAACAGCCCCGCTAGAACTACCGCGAATAGTCCTACAGAAGCTCGAAAGAGGATATTTTCTGAATAATGCTCTGGCTCCCCCGTCTCTTTATTGATCGTGCAGGCGCGCGAGCCCTTGAATCGGGCAGGTTCATCAGATCCACGATCTGGTTGCAGGCGAAACCAGATTCCTCAGCCCGCCGGGGAGAGGGGCGCAGGCGTCGCCTGGCATTGCGCTGATTCTAGGCCCAGGACTCCTTTGCCTGGATCGGATTTTTGCTTTTCTCTGTTTAAAAGGGGAAAGAGGAAGCCCTTGAGCGCACAGTAGGCGTAGACTCGCAAACGCGCCTCTGGCTAAGGAAACCGGCCCGAGGCTCCCAACCCCTTGAATGCTCTCTTGGGCTTCAGGCCCACTGAGTACAAGGGACCGGCTTCCGAGTAGACTTGTGTCGGACCGCGCTCTTACTTCTCTGTATCTTTTGAAACGTCGGAGTTCGAGATTATCTCGCCTCCAAATACGAGTAATGCCTACTTTCCCCTAAAGGGAAGCAGGACAGATGCCAATCTTTCTATGAAACTAAAACGGCAGGGCTAACTCATTTAAACAGAAAGAATGATTCAGCCCAGGACAAGCGAAGACTTCAACCAGCAGCGAGACAGAGGACCTTCCAGGCGCTGCTTGCGGTCCCGCCCTTCCAGGACTGGGGGCTGCGGATCGAGCCGCGGCCGTTCGGCACCAGCGTTTCCCTCAACGGGCTGCGACACCTGCGACTCTCCCGGAGAAGCAGGGCGCCTCCCTCCCCGAACGGAGCAAGGCATCCGGCCAAGCCTTTTCCAGCCCCAACTTTCATTTAACCGACCTTAAACGGGGGAAGGCTCCGGTTGGATCGTTCCTAGCCAGCGACGCTTCAGATACGCCACACGGAATGCCCATTGTCCCAGCCAACCAAACCAATGGCCCGATGAGTGCGAGGGATGGGAGTTGTAGTCCAACGCTTCCGGAGGATATCCGCTTGGAAAAAGCTGAGTCTACCAGCTTGGTGACCACTTTGGTTGCTCAAGAGGGTTCCTGGTTCTGCAAAAATACGGGTGCATGGAGGCATTCCGAAAGGGAGGTCTTTCCTTCTAACATCTTTGGGTTGGTTTGCACAACCAAGTAAGGAGTTTGCAGAACATATGTCCCATCCTATGCTCCTCTGTTTATTGGGAAGAGCTGCATGTAACTAACCTGCAGATCAGAAATGAAAAATGTAGCCCACCCATCCCCCTGATGTACTACTTTCATGATGGTTATTGTTACAAGGAAGTTTGAAACGACACCCATCCCCACATACTTGAAAGAGCATCATCAATTTTCCCATCCACTGTGAAACCCCACCTCCTCATTCTGCTACAAGCCTGAAACAGCCTTCTTTAGAGATGTGTTAAAAATGAAAAGTTTAAATGTCCTCCCCTGCCACCATTAAAATTCAGAGTTATTTCAAAATACTCCTGGTGGAAGTTGCAGGTTTAAGGATGAATTCACCTACAGACATGTATTACCTCCATAGCTGGGGCATTTAAGCTTCAGGGCACTAGTGATGTGTGACCCAGCTCTAGAAAAATAAGCCAAGAGACAATCCAACCTCCATACTTAGATACCAGCAGGACTAGATTAATCACATTTTATACAGACTTAGCTTCCCCAATGCCTCTTAGCAGTGAGCTCATTCATTTTGCTTCCTTTGGATGCTGATCTTTTTTTACATGTTTGGAGTAAAACATATTGATTATCCAGTCCGGCTAACAAAAGCCTCTTTTGGTTTGGTGTCTTTTTGTTTTTACAGGGGACAGACCTTAACATTTCTCTAACAATGAATGTCATTAGTTGTTTGTTACAGTAGTGTCTTGTATTAATATATTACAGCTAATATTCTCATATATTTCACTGGAAGGAAGGAACTCAAAGGAACTTGCTTCTGAACAGTACTTGTTAGATATTGATTTTAGTGCTTAGCTATTTGGGACATTAATGTCTCCAGAAATAAGTAGACTCCATTTTGAGTAAAAGCTGCAATAATAAATTGGTAGGCTATTTCCAGATATAAAATAATTTTATTTGTATGGGTGGAAAATCTGTTTCTTAAATAGGCAAAGTGGTGGCATCTGTTAAATGTTGAATTATCAAGAATTCATCATGATGTTGTGTGGACTTATGCACACAGACATCATAACACGGTTCATGTTAGGAACAGCATTGATAAGACTCCTCTATAGAGTTATAAACTTAATTTCTTACAGCAGATATTCTGGTCCTAGAAAAAGCAGAACTTTAACAATTTCTAGCTGGCTGAAATGCTAACTTTAGGAATTCACCATAGCCACCACTAATTTTGCTAAGAATTGTCACCACTTCAAGCATCCTGCATGAAGTTGAGAATATCAAGTAAAAGAAAGAACCCAGGTGGATGTTTATATTGCAAATGCTTACAATTATCATTTCCTCCCACCTGCAGATGAAAATTCAGGTTTTAAAGACCCAGTAGATTATTGGAGATTGTATCAAAAAGTTATTGTAACTCCCATAATTGGGACAGGCTCTCCCCTACCTGGGCAATCTCCAACTGCTAAATGGGATCGGGCCTGTAGGTTAGACAAGAAAAAAAAAATTCTGGAAGAAGTTACTGTAATTGTGAACCATGTCTTTATTGTAGAGAGATAGAGATATAGACAGGTGATATAGATGATAGAGATAGATGATCCCTAGTTATCTCATTAAAAGCTAAGCAAGATCAGACTCTGTCAGTACTCAATGGGAAACCATCAAGGCTGGAGAGTAGACTAGGAAGCAAAAAATCCCAAAAAATGTAGCAATGACGAACTACTATGGCATTATTTCCACACTCAAAGAAAAACGTACCATTATTTTTTTTACCATTAATGTGCCAGTAGTTTCTCACCTGCCATCAGGAATGCTTCTGAAGTAAGAGGTAAACATACAAGCATACATGCCCTTTGCTGTTTGTATGATTTATGCTACATCAGAGGATTTGTCTCCCATAGTTCTGAGCTAGAAGATAATCACTGATCTGTGGGAAACTATAAATGGGCTATATGCAGGGGCTTAATTTATTATATTCATAACATTTCTTCTTCAAAGAAGAAAAGAGCATGGTCTGTAGCAAAACAGGAATGTGTAAGGTAGACCCAGGTTTCAAACCCAGGTTGTTACTATTCAACTCAACCTTCTCTACATCTTCCAGGTGTGTTGAGTCTGCAACCCTTTTTTAAAGTAGTCATTCCAGTGGGAAAAGGGGAGGGAGAATTCCCAACTCTAGGTGGAGATCTCCTCTAAATCACATGGACTGCATGAAAAAGGATGCTGGGTGTGAACAGTGTGTACCATTGCTGCTAATCAGAATGGTGGAGTTCATGGCTACAGGAATAATCAGCTTTGCTAGCAATCCAATGTAAGGAAGGATCTGGAAGTTGCATATTTTTTTTGCTTATATGAATAAAATATCAGCAAGCCATCGAACCTAGAGAGGAGATCTCCACTTGAGTTTGGGAATAACTGTCATAGAAAATTCAGAAGTACAGAGCGCAACCCTGAGGAGAAGAAACCATGTTTATTGCAACAATCATTACAAGAAAGAGGAACCCTGAACAATGGGCTTACTGAATTATTGAATGTGTCCAATCATAAGAATTCTTGGAGAGGCTTTTAAAAAGACGCCTCCATAGAGGGCTTTCTGCTGTGATGCTTTTAGCTCTGGAATGAATTCCCCTGGAAGTTACAATCAGCCTGCATCCCTCCCCTTCTGTCAGTCAAGCTGCACCTCTTGCACCAGCTTTTCATTGTGCAATGACTGGAGCATCTAATTTCATGTTAATTTTAATTTAACATTATTTAAAATCTGTTTTTTTTTATTGTTAGCTTTCTTGAACATTTGCCATAATAGTAAGACAGGATATAAATTAAACTGTTAAATAATAAATGAAATAATCATTCCTTGTATGGAAATATTAATGCTTTGTAAAATTGTGTACAACTTCAGGGCATCAAAAATAAAAATTATAAACAAATAGAACAATGCTACTCAGAGATGTGGGATAGAAGTTAGGATCATCAAATTAAATCCTAGTTAGTTGTTTAATCATCTTCTTAGCCTGTTGAAACATAGCACTGCTTTGATCCTACATTGCCCACTGAACTTAGAATAAATTAATTTAATTTCATATCATCAAGCCCTAAGATTAGAGCAGATTGTGTGGGACAACTTGTAGAGGTCATGTGTTTGCATACAGAGAGTCTCAGGTTCAAGTCTCAGCATCTCTGGGAAGAGTCTTTGCTATCTGTTAGTTTTCGGACACAGTAGAGGTCTGCCAGGGGTCTGACTATGTTAACGCAGCTGCAGTGCAATACAGTGCGCAGAGGTTAATGTAATATGTGAGCGCGTTGAGTGAAAATCAGATCTTTAATTCCCAGATTAAAATAATCTGGAAGCTATCATGGGGAAGAGTGACTTTGGGGATCCAAAGGAAGAATAGAAGTTTACATGGACAAACACACATCTCAACAGACACCATAGGAGGAGAGCTATGTTAGTCAATGGTAGCAAAGTTTTAATGAGTGGCTACAGCTCACAAAAGTTTATGCCTTTTAATAGAATTTGCATGTCAGAAAAGGTATTATTCGGCTCCTCCTTTTTTTTCTTTGCACACATACTGATAGTACAAATGGAGATCTAGTAGTGAATTTGCTGCTTTCGCCAGCAGCAGCCCTCGTGTCTGCATGACATCTTGTTTTGACGGTCAGCCTAGACAAGCTGAGTTGCAGTGGAGAGGTCCTACTCCCTTTGCTTCTGGTACTCGTTGGGGAGCAGGGGCAGGGGGGAGTGGGAGCTGCTCTAACCCCCCTCTCTTGGCTTTGCAGGCAGTGGGCAAATCCAGCTGTGGCAATTCCTCCTGGAGCTGCTTTCGGACCGGGCCAACCTCAACTGCATTGCCTGGGAGGGCACCAATGGCGAGTTCAAACTGCTCGATCCCGACGAGGTGGCCCGCCGTTGGGGCGAGCGCAAGAGCAAACCTAACATGAACTATGACAAGTTGAGCAGGGCGCTACGCTACTATTATGACAAGAACATCATGACCAAGGTTCATGGCAAGCGCTATGCCTACAAGTTTGACTTCCAAGGCCTGGCCCAGGTCTGCCAGCCAGCCACACCTGACCACACCTTGTACAAATTCCAGGCACCCCTTCCCTTCTCTGGCATCTCCAAACTCAACATCATGGCTTCAGGAGTGACCCCAACCAGTTTCTCCTACTGGCCAGGCTCTGCCCCCACCCTGTACCCCAGCCATGGCTTGCAGGCTTCAGCGCCCTTCAGCACCATGGCAACATCCCATATCAACAATATGAACAGCCATTACCACTAGACCCCTTGTGGTTGCATGGGGTGTGGTGGGGAGCTGGGAGAATAAAGTTTGACCCCTAAATTTCACCTTAAGACATTTCCAATGCAACAAAAGTGATATTTATTAGGTTCCCCCATCATGCCAAAACACAAGGTGGTTTGCCTGGTTTTGGTTTCACGTATTATATGAAACCAGCTGTTATGGTATGTAAATAATGGTTTGCGGCATAGCACAATGTGTCAGTCCAGCCACTGCCACTTATTCAACAAACCACAGTGAAACAGACCATGGCTTAGGCGGATGGCTGAGTCTAGCTATTGTGTAGAGTGGAAAGAGACACTTTATTGAGATAGGCTGGATGATCCAGAGCCATTTGGGGGTGCAGTCTTTCCCCAATGAATCCATATTTTCCAGGGAACATTTCAGTAATTTCCCTATTTTTTCATTAAAAAAAACCACAATATATTGGAGTGACTCTGGAGCTGTCTTATACTTGGAACTTTTGGAACTGTGAAAATTTGTACAGCCCCCCTTCCCTCGCTAAGCCACATACATGTAACCACACATCCTGATGGAGAGCTATCAGCACCAGCAAGACCTTTTATCCTGAGATAGTGACAGAGATCCATTTAGCTTGAGTATCGCTGGGTGAGATGGGCACGTTATTTCTAACCACTCTAGTATAATTCACACAAATCAGACACAATATTCACTGTCAAGCTCTGTCAAGCTTTGTCAACTTGGCTTTCAATTGAATCAGAACAAGGGCTCTACCAAATATTGATTTGGGGGTCAAAGCCTTACGAAATACAAATTATGTGAATGTTCATGCTTTTCTCAATCCAGCTTGATTTCTAAATGGCAGTTGGTTCTTTAGGGCCTGCAGTTTTAGGGAATGGAAGACCATGGCTAGACTTACATGGATATAACTAGGATGATCTATCTTCCTGCTCAAGAGACAAACAAAAGCTGCCCTGTAAAATGGGGTACTTTTACATGTGGGATATAATGGAAGTTTGTTTAAAGCAGTGTTTCTCAACCTTAGCAACTTTAAGATGCGTGGACTTCAACTCCCAGAAT